ACCACTTCGTAGAAGCGCTTACTAGTTTCAATATGCCTGCTTGCCTGGTAGTACCATTACTACTTCTTCCGTTTCTTTTAGAGTACTACTACCCCCTGATGACAGCTGACTAATTTTAATCGAAGAATTTAAGCCTTTTATAGCATTGTGAACAACTAGAATGACCAACTTGGATAATTCCGGAGCTGCACTTGAGGTGGCCTGAGAGGACAGTATTTAAAATTAAAAATACATGTACGTTTTTGATCCGTTGCCGTCAGGAAAAAGGCGTGAAAATGTTGGTCTTATCACGCTTTTTATTAAGTGAGTCACTGCTAGCTACCAGCCTCACTGGGCGGGCTATATAGACGGCCAACCGTTTTTTCTAAACCAAAATTTAATACCACTTTAAAAAAATTATAACGGTCTTTTATCGATGTTTGCATTTTTAACCCCTTGAACGCGAAGGTTTTCCAGTGCACCCATTTACCGAAACCCTTTCGACGTTAACGTGTATGTCGGGGAAGGGTTTTAATAGTTAGACTGGTATAAAATTAATCCTGTAGGATGGTTAAACGCATTGAACCCCAGCACCTAGGATGGTGAAAATTTGATATCGTGTATCCTACAAGAATATTTGACTTTGAAATACACTATACCAAGATATCGTGTCCAGGAACGTACAAAAACTGCTCACAGCCCAGCGCACTTTTTCCTAAATATAGACTTCAAGTTCAGGTAAAAAGGGAGATACAGATTTTATACTTTTATCAAGACATTTAAGATCGCAAAATCATCTGCTTATGGTGTCGCAGCGTCGTTGTGACGTCTCTTTGACGGCCTACTGGTGTCATCATCCCCCGCTGTCACCACTCGCAGACTTTGCTTCTTCGACACTATCGGCTGCTGGCCTGCGCGCGCGGATCTTTCGCTTTCTCTGTGACGGCGGCAACAGGCTGCCGCTACGCCAATGCTTGTGCCAAATCTCGAAGCACGAAACGGACTCACCGTTGTTTACATGCTTGACCTTGTTGCACAGGTACACACGCGACGCCAGTGGCTGCTTTGAGCTTGTGTGTAGCTTGCAGGTGCTACAGTAGAATGTAGTCTCGCCCCCTCGCGACTCGTCGGAGCCCTTAAGCACCGAGCATACTTTGCATGCTCGCTGACGTCGCTTTCGACCTTTCCCGTTGTTTCCATCCCTCTACGCATCCACCTGCACCGGCACGTGGGTTCGCTGCAATGGCGGAGCGCGTGACTTCTTCGGGGTACGCTCCACCGCGCGAAGAGCATCCCAATCCGTCTCCTGCAACTGCGTCAGCTCCAAATGTAGTTGCTTCAGGAACTTGACATGGCTGAGCTTGGGTTTTCCATCAATAGCACGCCGTCGATTGTACACAATAAAAGTATTGACTGTTGCCAGGTCGATGAAGCCCAGAAAAAGCGACTTGTAGTATTTCTTATACTTTAGAGCCAATTGAAGAGAGTACCTGATACAACATGAATTATACAGGGTTAGCATCAACACTATCTTGTACATACAGCAGAAATGTACTCACCTTTGGAGGCGAAGTTGATCGTGTACATCAACTCCGCCCATGAAAGTTTGGTAATGTTTCAGCACTCTTGGACATGCCACTTCGACTTGCTCGCCAGACTTCGCTCGTCGAACTGCGCGATCTTGCTCAGTACTTCCACCCGCACGCAGTAAATGCACAGGACGGTTGTCCCACCAACACACTGCTTTCATACTCGGCACTAATGTTGACTCGGCAACAGCGTAGGTACCGCGGTGTACATCAGCAGGCCGCTTCTTCTTCTTCACGATAATCTCTTTGCAAAATTCACGCCGGTTGGTCATCACTGTGCCTATACTGTAGAACCCCATTGCTAGGAGCTGCATGGAGAGTGTCGGTGACGTGTAAAATCGGTCAGTGACCACTAGACGTTTTTCGATGGTCCCTCTTGCTCCAAAAACTTGCCTCAGGTTGCGAATAACGGCAGCTGGTCCACAGTTGGTGTCCTTCGAAGAGGATGACCTGTCCGTTTGCCGCTTACCACAGTAGACTTCAAACCTGTATCATACACATTTGCATTGTTACATACTTGTATCCTTCAGCTTAAGAGAACTTTACAACAACAACAAAAGGAGCGTGCCGTGAGGCACGCTCTCAACTCACCTGAGACAGTATGCTGACGTAGAGCAGCACAGCATGAAGAGCTTGGTCCCCCATTTATGGGGCTTGTTCTTCATGTAGACTCTCATCCGGTTGAACGTTGATCTTGAAGGCAACATTGCCTCATCAAATGCCATCACTGGAGGCGGTATGTAACCCGCTTTGACCTGTTGTTGGAGCGCGTCGATCACAGGACGCAGCTTCCAGGCACGATCTGTTGCGGCGCGGGGGTCGATGTTGCTGCTAAAGTGGAGATTACGAGAGATGTGCATGAAGCGATCCTGCGACATGAAAATCCCGAAGCGTCCACGAGGAATTCCTCCTTCGTCTGTCGTCTTCCAGTGATTCTCCAGCTTTATCTTGTTGGGAGCAATTGTTCGAGCAAATTGAAGCCCAACGAATACGCACAGCTCTCGAGCAGTGATAGGTGGCGTAGAGAGTAATGCAGCCTTGATCGCATCGCGCGTGCTCTCTTGTATCCAGGAATCTTCTTCTCTCTTTGTTCCTGCTTCGTATACTGTCCTTCAACCCGTTCGTCGATCTTTTCATCATAGTATTCGTTGCTTGCCTCCGCGATGTCTTCCCACAAGCGAGGCTGCATGAAGTAAAATAGCACCCCAGAAACCGTCGTGGCCGCTTCTAGACTTCGCGGTGTAGGTCCGTAGTGTTCTCGGAACAACTGCGGGTAATCCTCTTGCATATTCGCCGTGCGAGGCTCATAAGGCTGGTCGAGATATGGAAATAGACTGTATGATACAGAATTAGACCATCCTTTGCTTGCCATATCCTTCAGGATATCAGCGCTAATCGTGCCGCTTGTAATACTAGCCATACCACCAACCGCAGCTAAAAGATCGTCGTCAAACAATGCTTCTGCTGGATCTTCATCATCTTCTTCCAGCTCGTCTTCGTCTCCGCCTTCAGTTTCATCTCCGAGTGCACTGTCAGCGCCGTCAGAACACCCGTCATCTTTTTCAGCATCGGACACCATGGCTTGGTACTCCTCAGCATCGTCTGCGTCTACAGTAATGTTGATATCTGCTACAGCACAAGTATACAATCTACGATCGGTATCCTGTATCACAAACGTGTACATACGATCTAAAACGCACCATCACAAAACGCAGCAATCCTTGCCGACCGGCGAGGACCTGTAATCTCCTCTTGTCGTACGGTCTCATCAACCTCGTCAAACGCCGGGTCCAGATTGCGTTGAATATCGGGATCATCTTCCGAGCTTGGCTCATCGTCAGACTGGAGGCTATAAGTCATACGAGCTGACACGTCGGGGTACTCGACTCGTGGGGTTGGAGAGAGATGAGGCGATGTGCAGCGCAACGTCGGTGAAGGCTGGCTGCCATCACTATCACTGCGCGAGACGCCATTAACTCCATCTACAACACAGCAGCAATATACATGTTAGATCGCACGCTAAACGGTATAATACAGGTAAACACAGCATCATACCGTTGACTGGCGTTGTTTTTTGGGCAACAACATCATTCGTGTCTCTGCTGTCTTCATTTTGCTGATCACCACCTTCTGTATTGCTCTCCTCGCGTAACGTAACTGCTGTAAGTACCACGTTTGTATTATACATCATTAGCCGGCAGAATATCGTGTATATTCAAGACCAAGCATCACAATACCGCTAGACGTGGCATCGACGTCTTCCTGAGGCTCAACGCATTCAGCAGTCGTAGCAGAGGCTGCTTCTGGTAGTGTAGGCTGCTGTGCTTCTTTGGCAGCTTTCTCTGTTTCAATACAACACGTTAGACTGTCATTATGCGATGCAAAATAATTCAAGGTCTTACCAAGATCAATGCGGTCTAAGTAGCGCATTAATTCCTCTTCTCCGACGAAAACATCGACGCCACGGGTGTCCTTCTTGGTCTTACCAGGCTTCAAGTACGTGAAGTCAACAGAGAGGCCAGCCGGCCTCTTCGAAGACCAGCCTTCCTTCTTCAGCTCAGCCCAGCGGGCGCGAAAACCTGACATCTCTTGGACTCGGCGCAAATTCTTTAATGAGTGAAATGAGTGGCGTGTGAGCTATTGACTGTAAGAATTTGTCATACGTAGTCCACACCACACTAAAACCTCTTAGACTCAATTTTTAGAAAATGGAAAGACGCACTTCGAGCGGGAAAAGAGTAGGTGAGACAACCCGGCACCCCGTCCCCTATTTCATTTAAAGTTTGTAAACCTCAATACAAACGTCAAGTCAAAATTCCTTGTCGTGTTTGGTCCAGGATAAGCTTTTTCTGATATCGTGTCTAATACAGGCCGTCGCGTTCAAGGGGTTAGAGACAATATCGCTCTATTCGAGAGCGAGCTGATGGGTATGAACGCTCGCTGGTACGGCATCACCGAAGCCAAGAAGGGCACAGCACTTACCGCCAGACACAAGACAAAAACTATAGCGATTAAAGTTTTTGCATTGCGCGATTCCTTTGCAGCGAGTTTAGTTAAATCTTCTCGTGAGGCGGAAAGAGAAACACAGCCAACAAATTTTTGAAATCCATTTTCCATCAAAGGAGCGGGCTATTAACGCCAAGAAGAACTTTCCTAACTTCAAATCGAGCCATATTTAAGCAAAACAAATTGGGTAGTACGAAAGTTGTGTACAAGTATACGTTGACCCGAACAAAGTAGTACCCCGAAGACTTCGTTTTAACGAATAAAAAAAAACAGAGAATCATCAACGATTTCAGCGAAATATAGGTAAAAAAATCGATTCTTCAACGAGTCACCAGACTTACAAAAGTTATTTTGCTGTCCCCGGCCGCTGTAATAAGATTGCTTAGGCCGTTCAGCCAGCTAAAGCTGTCCTCCCTGTAAAACTGACTAAAGCTGAACGCTGAACACGATCGGTTCTCCTGTTCCGGCCAATTTTTGCTGGAAAGTGCTCGAGTTGAGAAGCGCCACCTCGAACACACCCTCAGCTCTTAATGGTGCAGCGATCGTCGAGCTGAGAATGTTGCTATCGGTTTTCTCCCACCCGGCCGTCAGTGCGCCGTACGGGGTGCTTACAGTTGCATTAGCGCTCGTGATGTTCAGCCCTGTTACCATTGGGTTCACTATCCAGTGGCGGAACCCGAACACCAGAGGACGAATACCTGCAACGTAGTTGGTCAAAACATATGTAGGAGCTCCACCCCACGGATGGCTCAACGACGTGAACTCTTTGAGTCCGGGTTCCAGGGACTGCGAAACGTACTCCCAACTTGCTCCGGAACGATAATACTCGTTCGAGATCATGGCGTCCCACAGATTGTCAAGCAAAAAAGCAGCCTCATTTGTGTGTCCAGTCTGTAGTAGTGCGTCCAGCAGGAACCCGTTCGTGTTGGGTGAGATCTTGGAACTATTATCCGTAACACTCGTGTCGAAGTATCCGGGGCCTCGACGAAGGTTTTCCAAACTCTTCACGCAAATGTCAGTTTAAGTCTCGTTTGCCACCCCAGAAGTAATCGCGAAAGCGATAGCCGAGACTCCATAGACCTGGGGAGTCGATGCATCGACGGCGTAGTTGCCCAACGTGTCGCTCCAGAGCAGATCATTCATCGCAGTTTTGATACTGGAGGCTACTTCGACCCATTGGTTAGCGGAAGCTTCGTCTCCTATTGACTTGGCTACCTTGGCCATACCATTGAGACATTGGACAGCAGCAGCGTTCACAGCAGTACCGGTACCTGAGCCCAGAAACACGGCCACGTACTTCGTGACATCGATAAGTCCGTTGCTATCTCGGCAGCTTACTAACCAAGCAGCAGCTTTTTGCAGCGACTCCCAGTTAGCCTTCGCGAACTCCACATCGTCATAATACTCCATGTACGACACGAACCCGATCAGCCCCAAAATGTCGTAGTCGGGGAAATTCAAGTATGCGTCACTCGTGCCAGCGTTAAACATAAAGACTTCAGGCGTGGGCATTGGAGTCTCGTACGTCATGGTCATTAGGCCTGGAAATTGCCCATTTGAAGCCTGGTAATCAAAAAGATACTTCCAAGTGCCTGTTATCTGTTCAGGTTTTGAGTTGGCAACGCCCATGATGCGAGTGGTGTGGTAGAAGTCGCCTAACCAAATGTATCGGTCACGTTTTGCCCCATCAAGGCACGCGGCGTACGTATTAGACTGCACGCCGAACTCCGGTAGTACTACGCTTTCGTCTGTCATCGGGTTCGTGTAGAGCGTCTTGGACGAGTCATTCAGACTCGTGGCTTTCACGTTACGAACATAGGATGCCTGGTCTTGCCAGCCACCAAAGCCGATAGCACCTTTCCCAGTCGTCGAGTAACCTAGGAGCGAGAGTTTCACTGAAGCCCATGTCAGAGATCGTCATGTCCATCACTTGTCGGTTATCCAGCCACACGACCAAGTTCCCAGCAGTCGAGCTCACAGCAATTTTCACACGATACCACACATGTTCCTTCACGTCGAAAGGCACACGAGACGTACCAAGGACGTAACTTGTCATGTCTGTGGCGTTGACAAAGTCGAAGCCATACGTAAGGGTCAGTGTGCTGGGTGGAAATAAAGTCGTGTTGATGTTCACGTACGTTGAGTCAGCGGGATATTCCGATGACAAGTGGAACATGAGCGATCCTCGGTTCGCTGTGATGTCATAGCCAATGTAAAATCCGAGGCCCCCGCGGATGATTTGGCTCTCAAACCCGAGTGTGTAATCGCTCAGATTCCACGCTTTATACGACACTCCCGGTCGTGGATTAGGTACAAATGTGCCGTTCTCTTCGGACACACGCCAAGACGACACTTGACTACCAGCATCCAGACAAGCAGCGCTTACTGCGCGTGCACCGAGTTTCCAAATCTCGTTATACTTGGCGTTGGAACTCGAAAATTGGCCCGGAAGCGTGGACAGATCATCAATCACTTCAACTGAGGCTTGAAGACCGACATTTGAGAATATGATGGAGTCGCCACTCAGCAAACGCAGAGTCTG